CATTTTTGTTAATAGTCACAGATTATTCTCAAAAGGTCACAGCACAAGTCACAGAATATATTGGCTTACGATTTTGTTCATAATCCCATGTTATTTTCAAATGGCCACAACACTGGTCACGATTTTGTTCATAATTCCATGTTATTTTCAAACGCTCCGATTTTTGTTTTTGGTCACAGCATACGTCACAGTTCAGGTCACAGCACATGAAACAGGTCACGGCATTGGTCACATAAACTATATAGCATCACCTCACCGTCTTACATGCCCTAACCCTACTCCACCACTGCCGGCAACTCCCCACAACCACCATCACTAACGTCGCCAACATAGCCTCACCAATGACGGCGAACCAAAAACATGACAATCTCCAGCACCGACAAAATTGCCACCACCACCACAGAAATTATTAGATCCACAAAAACCACCATCTCCGTTTACACCACCCCCACCAAAGAATCCACACCGCACCATCACTACTTCAACGAACCACCACCTGCACCACCCCTACCTCACCATCTCCACCACCACCACCACTACTCCAAACGAACCACAACCACCACACGAACACACAGATCAGCACATATACACCACAAATCTCCCATCATCACCACATCAACTGTACCATCATTGCAACCGAGTAAAACAAACATCACCGCACCGCACCGCTCAAATGAAATCAGATTGAGAAATTACCAAATTTGGTGATGAAAATTAGTAGTAATAATACGAGAAGCCCCCAGAAATCGCGGCAAGAGCTCCAAAGGGTGCTTCCGAATGCGAATGCTCAAGCCCAAACCCAAAAGCCACTGTGTGGCTTCGCAACAGATCCATAAGAGTTGCAGCGGCGAGGAGACGGTGGTTTCGATTTGGGAGTAGAGGATTTTGACGGTGGAGGAAATTGAAGCTGTTGGTTCTGGTTCTGGTTCTAGTTTTGGTTCCGGCGTGCAGAGCCTTGAATCTGGTTCCGGCGTTGTCGAAAGGTGGCTGCGCAGTGGGGGAAACGCCCCTTCCACGCCGCCGAGAGAGAGAGAGACAGAGAGGGGTAGGGGGTGGTGCCGGTTCTGAAAGAGAAATTAGGGATTTAATTTTGTGATGGAGTGTTTATAATTTAATTTTTATAATATTATAATTAATATTTAATTAAATATAAAAAACGTGTATCTATATATAAAAATATCTGATTTTTGAAAAAAAAAAAAAACATGAAATCTGATTTTTGAATTTAGATCTTGAAAAGTAGGGCTCCATGTAATTTCCACTTAATTAAATTGATTGCATTTTTAGAGCAGTGGGGTTAATTTCTTCTTTTAATTGTCAGGAAAGATTGTGGGGCCAAGCCCATGGACTGGTGCATGCCTAAGGCATCTATTTGGTGTCTTTGGCCCAATCTATTTGGCCCACTAGTAAAATGCATCAATCTTTCACACGAGAGAGAATTTTCTACGGGATCTTCATCGTCTCCACCAGTCCATTCCCCCGATCTATATTTTCTCTCTCTACTGATTCTCCGGCCAGTCACTTTGCTTACTGATAAATTCTTGACAATTCATTTGTTCAATTGTTGGAATTTATAATATTTTTTCGTTCAAGATAGTTAGTGATTGAATATGGAGAGTAACTGAGGCTGGAATAGTGTAATGGACTCGATCTGGAAGCAAAATGCTGTCCCAGACGTCTGGAATTTCTTCGTTGCGTTATACTTCGCTTTTGGTTTCGTCGTCGCCAGGTTCTTGCTTGATAGATTCATCTTTCGCGTAAGTTCATCTTTAGTTGATTAGTACTTTTTCAGTATATACACTTAAGCAGAGAAAGATTTTATGTTGTTTAATCGATTTTTTTTTTTTAGTTCAAGTTGGCACTTGTGGATAGTTTGTTCATATTCTATTATTTAGTAAATTTATGTAAACATTGATTAACTTAATTATGGCTTGATGCTTTAATATCTTGTTTGGAAGAAAAGAATGAAAAATGAGTGAACGATGGTCAAAACTGAAAACCGTGACTTGCTGCCCGTGACTCCAGCTATGTGAGCGTAAAAGAAGCAATAGCAAGTATCAATATCTGGCCAGGTCTATTTAGGATTCATAATTTATTAGAACCTACATAATGCTATAGAATTTGGAACTATGAAATTCTTGAAGTTGCTTGGATTGATTTGCCGAAATTGGTGTAGGATAGTGCTCTATGACACGAATTGATAATTCAATTGATATTCTTTGGTGAACTGATAGGATTCAGTATGATAAAATTTAACATTTTTTTGTTCATTGGTAGGGAGTGTCTAAAAGTTTTTTGAGTGCCAATACCATCAGAATTAGACTAGTCCAAAAAGCAAAAAAGTTATCATATTTCTATTAAGATTTTGTTATCTGACTTAATATTGCATAGGATCTAAGGACTGGACCACTATTTGGTCACTTGATTAGAATTGGCCATGAGAAGGTAAATCAATACCTGGCATTTTTCTTTCTTTTTCCTCTCTACCTGTGTTTTTGAAAACCTGAAAGCATCAAGTGCTTAGCTTAGTTCCAGTTTAGCTCAATCAACTTGTTAAATGGTTTTGAAAAGTCTTGTGATTGTGTTTGCAATACTTTCTTTGCTTTTGATTATATAACAAGATTCTCTTTATTTAAGTTTTTATTTAACGCAAGGTTAGCGGTCAAATCGTAAGTAATTAAATTTTGGAAAAATAATTGAGATGTCTGTTGCTTCTTGAGAAGAGATAAAATGTGGCAGCCAACATTGAAAAAAAAAATACACCTTGTTTAGATAAAAGGAAATTCCCCGTTACTCATAAAAAGTGAGCCACCAGTTTTGTTACAAGTTACTTCATTATCGTATGGACAATCAGGCACGCAACCAATTGCAAGAGCATTACTCTACCAACTGAAACATGATTTTGTTGAATCCATGTCCAGCTTCGGTCACAGTTAAAGTAAATTTAAACTAAAACTTTACCCAAACAAAATCTTGATAACTTGTACCAAAACCGGTGGCTCACTTTTTATGAGTAATCAACCAGGCATGCAACCAATTGCAAGAGCATAGCTCTATCAACTGAGACATGATTTTGTTGAATCCATGTCCAGCTTTGGGCATAGCTAAAGTAAATTTAAACTAAAACTTTACCCAAACAAAATCTTAATAACTTCATTTATTTGTGTTTACAAAACCAAGATCAAGTTTATTTGGAATAGAGTAGTTTCCGCTAAAACAAGATTAAATGTTTCCAGACTCTATCGTAGATTATATTAGAAATATAATATGAATGCCACCAATAATGAGGTCTAATTTTTGCTGATAGGAAAGCAACCACTAAAAAATAGTAAAAATTCTTTGGAAAATTGTCTCTTCCTCACTGTTGATTGCATCTGTTCCAGAGGTTGGCCATCTGGTTGTTGAGAAGTGGAGATGGTCTGTGGACGATTAATGAGGCTACAAGAGCAAAAATTGTGAAGTTTTCAGAATCTATGTGGAAACTCACATACTATGCTGCTGTTGAGTTTTGTGTTTTATCAGTTAACTACCATGAGCCATGGTTCAGGGATATAAAGGAGTACTTTAGAGGTTGGCCCAATCAAGAGCTGAAGTAAGTGATAGTACATTTCGTTAATATTGTCCCAACAGTTGATAAAATTGCTGTCCTTGCCGATGACGTCTTTGACATTGTGTAATTGGCTCTTTATATTGCTAGATGAACGAATCAGTTGAGCACGAGATCATAGGGAAACTCCATTAGAATATTTTGACACTTTATAACAAACTTGGATTGTACACACCACGTTATCGTCATATAATTTTTTTTGTTAGGTGGCCTAAAAAGAGTTGAACCTTCATGATTTAACCCATTGATAGAGTGGAGTGGAAAATAGATCCATGTAGCCTACCTGAAATAACTATATGACAAGGATTTGTTGAGTTGAGTTGAGTAGAGATGATGTCCATCCAAAAGTAAATAAATTGGTTTCCCATAATGATCTTTCCAATAATGCTATTACATTGCCCTGCATATTCTAGTTTGGTCCATGATCTCTGTGACCACCATGATTCTACTTGCAGATAATATTTTTAATCTTGTGGAAAATAGGTTTAAGAAGGACATAGAAGTTTCCAAATCTATCCTTTTTGCAAAGCAAATAAATGAACTTTGAAATCATTGTTCTTAATATGGTTCTGAAGATGATATTATCAAGTTTATAGTGTTACTTTAAGATATTGAATTTGTATCCTTTCGAATATAAATCGGAAGAGCACTGAGGTCAGGCACTGTCGTTTTTTGACAACTAATGCAGAGTGAAAAACATGAAATATTAGGTCATGGACTTAATTGTTCCAACTTTGCTGTCTCGATGTAATTTTTGCCATCTATTAGAACGGCCTATCACATGCACACATTTTGTTTCCGTGATTGCATCTGTGCATGTTATTACCTGCCAAAAAAAAACTTTATTTTAGGTTCATCTCGTTCAATTTAAGATGGTTCTTATACAAAAGTGATGAAACATTGCGTCCCATGCACAGTCAATCTCTAATTGCTCGACGAGAATCCAGACTGGCTGTTGATGCAACGAATAGACTGCTAGTCTTGTAAACACATGTACCAATGTCATGCTAACAAGGCTGCCAAACTTCATTGTTGCGTGCCTTTCAATACATACACGTATTGATGGTGTGCTGTATATCTAAACTTAGCTGTTGCATTGTCCATTTCAGGCCTCCTTTGACCCTCATTTATATGTGCCAATGTGGCTTCTACATCTATAGCTCTGCTGCCCTCCTTACCTGGGAAACAAGGCGAAAGGATTTCTCTGTTATGATGTCTCATCATGTTGTCACTGTTATTCTGATTGCTTACTCATACATGGCAAGGTATCTTTTTGCTTCAACTGCTTCTTATTGTTGCTGAAATATTGCACTTCTGACAGATTAGTAAAGAAAGGGAATAAGATAGGTCCTTGCATCACTCCTTTATATTAATCTCTGGTTCCAATTATTTGCATCTAATCATCATGGCATGAATTCCTCTGAACAAACAAGCAACTTTAAGATTATTTGGATAATGGAGTAGGAAATCAGGATTATTTGGTATGTATTTTCCGCTCAAGTGAATCTATAGATGAATAACCAATGTTATGAAAACCGGACCGGACCAGACCAGACCGGCCAGTTCAATCTGAAAAACCGGGAACTGGCCTCAAATCTGGTATGGTTATTATATATTAACCAGAAAAAGAAAAACCGGAAAATAAACCAATGAACCGGTCAGTTAACCAAAAACCCCGTCACGGTTTTTTACCGATAATTTATGGTTTTTTTTTTTTTAACAATTTTTTTTAATTTTTAGCCATTGTTTGACATCCATTTTTTTCTCATTCTCATTTTTTTCTCTTTCTTCATTCCAACCACACATTCTATCAATAAAATAATATTACACATAAATCCAAAAATTCTCTTTACTTTTTAACCACACATTCTTCCATCAATCACTATTCCAAATCAAATTCTTCTCCAAAATGGATGTCAAACAAGGGCTTAATATGCTCCATAAGATAAAAATAATTTATTCTCCTTTTCAAATTTTAAGATATACATATATTCAAACTAATAGAGTATATGGATGTTCATTTTTATATAGGTTCTTTCGGATAGGTGCAGTCATTCTTGCACTGCATGATGCAAGTGATGTATTTCTTGAAGCTGCTAAAGTTTTTAAATATTCTGAAAATGAGCTTGGAGCTAGTGTGTTCTTCGGATTGTTTGCCATCTCATGGTTTACACTAAGGCTGGTATTCTTTCCATTTTGGGTTATAAGATCCTCAAGGTTCGTTTCGAATTTGATTCTTCTTGTAAAATTACAATATTTGGTACCTCCTCTAATCTCAATTTTTGGTTGCCATTGCCCAGCTACTACTTATGCGAAGTCCTGAACCCGTCAGAACCATATCACATGTTATTATATTATGTCTTCAATACAATGCTATTGATGCTGCTTGTTTTTCACATTTATTGGTGGATTCTAATATGCTCCATGATCAGAAGGCAACTGAAGAATAGGGGAAAAGTTGGAGAAGATATAAGATCGGGTAGGCATCAAATTGTGTTATTTCAAATTTATGTTTAATTGTTCCCTCCTTGGCTAATTGCCCCTGATATCTTGCCTTTTTTTCTTTTTTTTTCTTTCTTTTTTTTTTTTTTTGGTCAGTTTGCTTGCCTTCATGCGAAAACCATATGGAAATCTATGCCATTTTCACTTAATAACGAAGTTACCTCAGAAATGATATAAAGGAGTTAGAGGCAATTTCTTACTTTCCAAAACCCTTCATTCAAATATGCAGATTATAGTTATATCATTACAAGTTTTCCTCGTGGCAAAAACGAAAAAAAAGAGTAATGCTATTCATAGTGAGGACTACCGGTAGTCGTCCTACGTGACATACATGTGGCAGTTTGTTAGTTGATGCATGAAGCAATAGAAAACTATCAAATAACAAAATGCCAAATGTGGCGACTACAGATAGTCCTCACCATGAATAACATTATTAAAATAGAAATGCTGAAAAAATCCCTCAATATCTTCTTTCGAGGAATCCTTTTTATGATGCAACATAAGCGTGTAACTTAAGCCAATCAGAAGACATGAGAATGTGATGTGCTCTTGGACATTGCATTTGGATATTTGCCAGACTGAGACCAGAATAGGATTTCTTGAACTTGCATTTTTCTCATCTAGTGATGACTTTGACGCACTCTTATAGAAATATTGCATCATGGGCAAAAGATTTGTTTGGAAAACTTTTATCTACATCTATTTAATAACACTAACCAATCCCCTTTACAGATTCGGAGGATGACGACTAGTGAGAAGATGTGCTCAAGTTTTTTTTACAAAGTAATTTAGCTTGGTAAAATTGCTCTTGATTTGAAGCTTTGCTTCTGTTAGTGGTTGGTTTTACTCATGTAGGATGGATGAAACTCACTACAATATTCCTAGTCCGTGTTTTCTTTTCTTACTACAGAATAAGTGTAGGGCTATCTAATATTTCACATGGTATATTGTGACTTTGATGTACAAATAATAGGTGCTTCTTGTATAATTTATTCGATGAAGTTTTGCAGAAAATGAGCAATTAATCTCACTTTCTTGATTCTCAATTCCTTGTATTCTTCGAATAATTATGGCTGTTTTATGAGAAAAATGCATAGCATGTAACCACGTTAAATGGTACAAGCCATAGAATTACAACAAAATGTTCAAATAATAGCTTAGTAATTACGTTATCAACAGCTTTGGCAGGATTTCAAATTCTATATCGAGTATAGAAATATCTAATTAGAATTGAAAGTAAGTCTTTTTTTCAAATGCCTATCGTTTCGAGTAACCATCATACTAATGTGGTATGTAACTTTTCATTGTTATACATGCAATTCAATAAATTTCAGGGTGCGACTGTTGAAAAATTTTACGTCCACAAAAATCAACAAACACTACTAGTAAGAAATTATAGGTTTAGCAACTTGATAAAATATTGTTTCATTGTAATGCTGCTAAAGGTTTTATAATTTCAGTGGAAAATTACAACAAAGTTGTTACATGTACATTAACTTTAACATCATGGATGGCATTGACAGTTTTTTATACATTGATTTTAAGGTAATTCCACTTGTACATCACGTGGTGTACATAAGGGGTCACACCTCCCTCACATGGGGCGTGGGATCCGCTTGAATAATATTTTTTTATTCAAGCGGATCCTACCCCCATGTGAGAGGGTATAACCCTCAATGTACCACTAGCATCACCCTAGATTTTAATAACACTTTAAACAATCAATGACACAGATTTTAACAACTCACGCAATGTCAACAAAAATGTCACATAGGAATGTACATTTAAATTAACTCAAATTACAATTTGTGTGACTTGGCTGAAATATATAGTTAAAAAGTTTATAAAATTTACAGATCCCATAAATTGTGGAGTTGAAAAATGAGTTCGGAAACGAATGACTTTTAAAAATTGTGGAGCAAACGTGGGCTATTTGTGTAATTTTCCATACTTTAAACAGGCCATTTTGGGCCCAATCTTTTAATACTGGGAGATCTCGAGTAAGATAATTAAGGTCTTCTCAATCAAAATAGAGACCACTAGAGTCAATTTCAAGCAAGCTGGAGCCCTATTCTTTTGCCACGTCCACCTTTCTATGCCGTCATCCTATTACAACCTCAGCCTCAGCCATGAGACAATAGCCACATCATTCTCACAAAGTTCTTTTGACTGTCGGTCAAGATGCCAACTCAAAACCAGCCACCTCATCCCCTTCGTACCAACAGAAACCGCTTTGACCCAACACCCCCGTGTGAAATCAGCGTACTTCAATGTCTGACTTTCTACTCCTTACATAAACCCATTTGTCACCAAATTTTTTCCATCAAAAACAATTCACAGATATTTCTTAACAAGTTCAAAATCTTTATCGCCAGGATTCAGAATGCAAATGCGAACACGACTTACCAGTGAAGAGGAAGTTTCAATAATGGTAGCAGCCTTGAAGAACGTCATAACTGGTGGCGCTACGGCCACTTCCGCCATGGACGCCTACCAGGAGTTTTCAGCTGTTTCCAGTTCACAGTTTTATACGAGGGAGCCAATTTTTCAGGTTTCTGAGGATATAGAAAGTTGTCAGACTTGCAGAATTAAAGGGTGTTTGGGATGCAATTTGTTTGGGAGAGAAGAAAACGAGAAGAAGAAAATTGGGTTGCAGAAGAAGAAAAAGAAGAAGAATTACAGAGGTGTGAGGCAGAGGCCCTGGGGAAAATGGGCAGCGGAGATAAGGGACCCACGAAAGGCGGCGAGAGTGTGGCTGGGTACATTTCAGACGGCGGAGGATGCAGCCAGGGCATATGATAAGGCGGCTATTGAGTTCAGAGGTCCAAGAGCAAAGCTTAATTTTCCTTTTGCTAATTACACCGCCACTCAAACGGTGGAGCAGGTGTCGGCGACTCATCAACCGACTTCATCTTCTCATGATCAGAAAATTCAAGAAAACTCCAGAATGCATGTTGAAACGAGCAACAACGATAACAAACTAAGTCCCATCTCTAATAATTTCGAATTCAGCAATGGAACAACAAGCAGAGACGAGGATTTCTGGAATCTTCTTTTTGAGAAAGATGAAATTCAAGAATGGATGACGATAATGGATGGTGGATTCTCTAATTCTGGCTCGAGTTAATTATGGAAATTGCGGTTGCCCATTTTAATATTTTTTTTAATCAATTTTGGGCTTCTTGTACCAAATTAAATTTTGTAATACACAAAATCAGGGGACAAGTAGTTATATGTAAGCAATTTTTTATACTTTCTGCCTACTGACAATTGTTACAATAGATAGATTTTAAGAATAAAACATCGATCCACGTGAATTCAAGATCTCGAACTAGGGCTGTTCGTGGGTCGGTTCAGTTCGGTTCTGAAAAGACCCGAACCGACCCAAAATTTTCGAGTATTTAATAAATGGAACCGTTGGGTCCAAATATAATTATGGAACCGTTCGGGTTCGGTTCCGTACCATAATTAAATTTTTTAATATTTACAGCAACACTACATAAATACAATTAATGACATTTCATTCATAACTTTTACAAATTAACGTAGCCTAATTCAAAAACATATAAATAACTAGCCGTCTAATAAGATTAATTCAATGCATACAAATACCAAAAAATAGATATTAATATTATAGTAACACTACATAAAGTATATTCATTTGTTTCAAATTAAAATGAGTTTTAAAATTAAAATTATGAAATAATATGATTTATTTAATTAATTTGTTAATTTGTTTAGAAATAAATAAAATAATTTAATT